TTCGGAAGGCCGATTGACGCTTTACCGCCCCGGGGTGTTGTTGCCACTGCTCAGCTAGGGGCTGTGAATTACGCACGAGTTTTAGGCCGAGCAAAACATCAGCACTAGGAGGCCAAGACTGAGCTTTAAAACTAACCAAATTGATTGAGCAAACCGGTATTACCGCTTGTTCTATGCTTGGTCGCAGTAGTCAGGTTTTTGTATCCGCAATCGAGTCAGGAGGTTATCTTTGCCATGCCATGATCTTCCGATGATTCCAAATTTGCCTGCGTGTAAATAAAAATTGAGAACTACATGCATCTCAGGACCTGCCACTAATCGGCTCTTGAACTCAACTTGGATGTGCTAATAGAAGTCAACATGAAGAACTCGAATGACGCAAATCAACCTGGATTTCTCAGAACCTAGACCAGATCCGACCAGATAACTTCCCCATCGTGCTGAAACAGATTAATGTCTAATTCTCCACGAGCCCTGAACCGACCTCGACAACCGACTTGTCGGCGATCAACCCTTTACCAGAGCACCAGGAGGTGGCATCACCCACGACCGGGAGCCACCAGCCGAAAAGCTGACGTCCCACGCAGAAAAGAGGGTGAGAGGCCGTGGCAGCTCCCCCCACAGTGACGTGGGCCCGGCGGCGAGCGACACATAAACGGGCGGGATACTCCCGGAGAGAGCCCTGGGAGGCGTCACGCGCCGGCTGCCTCCGTTCGGACGTGGGCACGACCGCCACCACGTCCGCCGTGGGATATACGTCCGCCCTCGCGGCGGCCTCCGTGAGTGCAGAAGACCGCACTGTAAACCCCACCAGCCACAGCTCCACGGACGCCAGCGGCGAGCCGCCTCGCCGCAGCGTGTCGTCACCAGCGGCTCAGCTCCCGACGCCAGCGGCGAGCCGCCTCGCCGCAGCGTGTCGTCACCAGCGGCGCAGCTCCCGACGCCAGCGGCGAGCCGCCTCGCCGCAGCGTGTCGTCACCAGCGGCTCAGCTCCCGACGCCAGCCGACGGCGGGGCAGGCCGGATGAGCGCGCCGGCCGGCTCTCGTTAACGGTCGGCAGTCGGCGCGGGGGCAGGTGACGGCTCACCGGACCCCCGACCTTATACGGCCCGGCCGGTGCAGCCCACCCCACCGGGACAAACGACTGACGGCCGGAGGCCGGAGGCGTCATCGTCAGCACCGCCACCACCGCCACCACTTTCGCCTCCGCCGCCGCACCCGCCACCGCCCCGGCCTCCGCCTCCGCCTCCGCCCGCCTCCGCCTCCGCCTCCGCCTCCGCCACCGCCACCCCCCCGCCACCGCCGCCCCACCGCCACCGCCACCGCCACCGCCACCGTCCACCGCCACCGCACCGTCACCGCCACCGCCACCCCACCGCCACCGCCACCTCACCGCCACCGCCACCGCCACCAGCCACCGCCACCGCCACCGCCACCGCTTCCGCCACCGCCGCCGCCTCTGCCGCCGCACCCGCCACCGCCACCGCCCCCCGCCTCTGCCCCCGCCCCGCCACCGCCGCCTTCCGCACACCGGCCCAGTCACCGTTGGGGTGACGCGGTCCTCCGGAATACCACTCGTCCGTAAAATGGCATCGAGGACGATATGACCCGGTTTGACACTGAGGCCCACGCAAGTCGACCGAGGCCATCCCCGAGCCACGACGAACTGCCAGACATCCGACACAGGAGGTGACGGCGACAGCCCCCCGCTCCGGTGGCGACCGAGCGCGCCATGCGATTAACGGCACGGGACTGTGAGATCTGCCGCACGAGACTGTGAGATCAACAGCGTAAATCGTGGGGATGAACAGCACGGGTCTGTTCCGTACGAGACTATGGCATCAACAGCGTAGGCTGGGGGATAACCAGCACGGGACTGTGAGATCAACAGCGTAAGGCTGTGGGATGAACGGCAGCGGGTCTGTCCGTACGAGATTGTGATATTAACAGCGTAAGGCTGTGGGATAAACAGCACGGAACTGTGAGATCAGCCGCATGAGACTGTGAGATCAACACATTAATCCTGTGGTATACACAACACGGAATTGTGAGATCAACCGTCCGAGATTGTGAGATCAACAGCGTAGGGCTGTGCGATAAACAATACGAGACTATTAGACCAACAGCTAGGCCTTTGGGATAAACAGCACGAGACTGGTAGATCAGCAGCGTAATACTTTGGGATAATAGCACAGGACTGTGAGATTAGCCGCTTCGGACTGTGGGGGAACAGCATGAATGATTTGGTCCAGGTATGGGTCAGAGGCTCCGAACGTAAAGCACTTAGTTTGAGTCAGAGTCTGAGCGCTGGTCTTTTGGGTCCGAGTCGAAGACATATTTCATCCCTTCATTGCATGGAATCGAGTCCGTATTTCGGCTCTAGGACCTCGAGTCCGAGATCGTATAGATCGGAGGAATCGGATAGCCCTGGTCCGGCGTCGGGCTGAGTTTGATTCCGATACTGGATCAGTCCGAGCTCGAATCCGAGTTCTAGGGCTTTGGGTCCGAGTTCACCAGTTTTTCCTTGCAGAATCATGCAGAAGACGGAAAATCAGGAACGCAGGTTACTGAAGGAAAGACGGTTCGAAAAAAATCATAATCGGTCATATGTCACCTGCTCTGATCTCATCTAGTCCATTCCGAATTGAAACCGTAACTAGGACTTTACCCAGATTGCATCCACATGCAGCCGTGGGACTGGTGCGCGCATATTGTCTTCTCGGGTCCGTAGAAGAATGACGCCACCGACATCACCTTCGAACGTGGAGTGGGAACATTCAGCAAACATCAAACTGTCCTGGAATTTAACACGTAGTAATCTCAATGTACTACAGCTGTTTGTATGCATGAGCGCGGATCATAGAGGATCAGAAACAAGGTTCCATGTTCGTCCCGCACTGCTGTGCGTCCTCTTTTTGTTTATTCTGTGTTTAAGAGGTATATCGCTTGCACTCATGTTATCATGTGTCATGCTTATTTCGTGTGAAGTATCCTCTTTAGCACTTAAGGCAATGCCAACGTAACATTCAGCTTCGACTAAGTTTGGTTTCGTACTGGGACGTGGTACTTTTTTACACGTTACACTGCACGATATGCCTCCCATTTCATCAGACTCTGTTTACTACGACATCGGGTGTATTTACAATATCACGTCCTTTTCTTCTTCGAGTCTGCTGCTTGAAAGCAGCCGTGATGCCTATTCCAAGTCAGTGGTACGGATTGTGCGCCTGATACATGACGTAATGCTCTTGATCGCCTGAATCACGTGATCGCTTGATCACGCGCTTGCAGCACACCTGCGTGGGGGTACGGCATGGTTTTATGGCAGTGACGCTCCTTAGAAGAGGTATAATGTCCTATCTCAGGTGGGGGTGGGGGGGGGGGGCTTTAGACATCTCTCAACTTCGGCTCCGGCCCCCCCCCCCCCCAACTTTGGAACAAAATGAGCCAAATCTGGTAGGAAGCTTGTTTGTTGGCATATTTTGGGAATAGCTTAGGTTAGTTTGTAATTGTTCAGAACTGTCCCCTTCCCAACACATCTACTAAGACTAAACACCTGCTCCCTGGTTCACAACGCCACAAGACACCATGTGAAAATTGGGAGATATTGAAAGCCTTGAAACATGAGAAGTTCCACCCATCGTCACATAAACTCCCGACACATTTCGGTTCCTAATGTTTTATATTTGTACTTGCTTTTTCGCAGAAATGCTCCATTGAGCATTTCCATGATCGAAATTTGGGAACTCGTAATCGTTGGTGTACAATCGTCATGAGAATGCGTGGGTCATGACAGCCCGATCGTCATGAGAGTGCGTGGGTTATGGCAGCCCGATCGTCATGAGAGCGCGTGGGTTATGACAGCCCAATTTTGGCGTGCACCAGGGTTGTGAGAGATCTCGGAGCCGTATAAAACCACGCTGCGGCAAAAATGTACTTCTACGATTGGAAAGAAACACACCGGTTAGCCGTGCGGGAAGAGCCGGTATGCAGCAGCGCGTGGCTCCGTGACGCAGGTAATTCAGCTCTTGATGATTAAGAAAGGAATCTATCGCCTTGCTCTGAACGTCCATCCAGCGGCACTAGTATAAGCTGTGAACGAATCTAACCACGCATTTGGGGACAATTGGAAAGCAATTAGGTACCATCCATTTTTCCGGAATACGGAGAGCACGTTTGGAATTCCTGCCGTAACTGAATGGCCCGTTCGGCGGTTGGAAATGCATTGTCCGACGTCAATAAGTGCATATGCTGCGATGGTAGCGCGCAGTGCCCCACTCCAGACGAGTGTGTGCCGATAGTGGTGACTGCTGTCCTGTCAGCCGCCCATCTAGCCCAAAGGGATCAACACCAGCCACCTCTTGATAACATCCCTGCACACCCGTACAGCTCAAATGCCACCTGGCAATATCACATGGTGTTCAATATCTGACACAGCCACCTGAGTCTCCAAAGCGCATCGCTCTGGCATTCTCATCGGCCCGCAAGCGCGGCGGGAGCGACAGCAAGAGAGCGAGAGAGCGAGAGAGCGAGAGAGAGAGAGAGAGAGAGAGAGAGAGAGAGAGAGAGAGAGAGAGAGAGAGCGAGAGAGAGAGAGAGAGGGAGAGGGAGAGGGAGAGGGAAGAGAGAGAGGAGAGAGAGAGAGAGAGGAGAGGGAGAGGGAGAGGGAGAGGGAGAGATAGGGAGAGGGAGAGGGAAGGGAGAGGGAGAGGGAGAGAGGGAGAGGAGAGAGAGGAGAGAGGAGAGGGAGAGGAGAGAGGGAGAGGGAAGAGGAGAAGGAGAGAGGGAGAAGGGAGAGAGAGAGAGAGAGAGAGAGAGAGAGAGAGAGAGAAGAGAGAGAGAGAGAGAGAGAGAGAGAGAGAGAGAGAGAGAGAGAGGAGAGAGAGAGAGAGAGAGAGAGAGAGAGAGAGAGAGAGAGAGAGAGAGAGAGAGAGAGAGAGAGAGAGAGAGAGAGAGAGAGAGAGAGAGAGAGAGAGACTGGCCTGTGGCCGTCGACTGACCTGTAGTTGGAGGTGGTCCAGCGGTAACCACGCTCGTCGGCCTCATACTTGACGACGTGCAGGGTGCCATCCTGCTGGATGTACCCGTAGAGGCCAGTGACAAGACCTGTGTCATCCCTGCTCTCCTGTCGGAACGACTGGTGCTCACCATCCCCTGTAGACAGGACAGAGGGTCACCATCCGAACGACTCGTGCTCACCATCCCCTGCAGACGGGACAGAGAGTCACCGCCGGTGCTGACTGAGGGCAAACGGTAGCCAAGCGGTTGGTACCGACTGACACCTGAACGGGGGACATCGGGGCCAACGCTTGCACAGACTGGCGCTTGAGCTGGGGACAGCGGGGCCAACGCCCGCGCAGACTGGCACCTGAGCGGAGGACAGCGGGGCCAACGCTGGCGCAGACTGGCACCTGAGCGGGGGACAGCGGGGCCAACGCCCGCGCAGACTGGCACCTGAGCGGAGGACAGCGGGGCCAACGCTGGCGCAGACTGGCACCCTGAGCGGAGGAAAGCGGGGCCAACGCTGGCGCAGACTGGCACCTGAGCGGAGGACAGCGGGGGCCAACGCTGGCGCAGACTGTGCGCTTGAGCTGGGGACAGCGGGGCCAACGCTGGCGCAGACTGGCACCTGAGCGGAGGACAGCGGGGCCACGCTGGCGCAGACTGGCACCTGAGCGGGGGACAGCGGGGCCAACGCCCGCGCAGACTGGCACCTGAGCGGAGGACAGCGGGGCCAACGCTGGCGCAGACTGGCACCTGAGCGAAGGACAGCGGGGCCAACGCTGGCGCAGACTGGCACCTGAGCGGAGGACAGCGGGGCCAACGCTGGCGCAGACTGGCACCTGAGCGGAGGACAGCGGGGCCAACGCTGGCGCAGACTGGCACCTGAGCGGAGGACAGCGGGGCCAACGCTGGCGCAGACTGGCACCTGAGTTGGGGAGGACGGCGTCATCATTGGTGCTGACTGACACTTGAACAGGAGAAGGAAAGATCGCCGCCGGTCCTCAATGATCCCGGTACAGATGGCAGCAGCGCTGCCACTAGTGATCTCTGAGACCTGTGTAGAGGGGTATAGGGTCACCACCACGGCCCACTTCCACCTGGGCAAAGGATGAGGAAATTGACACTATCGCATTGTCATTTACATACGACCACGTCAGTGCTGCAGCTTAGAGCGTAGCTCCTAGTCAGCCGGCGCTGTACGAGCAGTGCTCGCAGATAGAGTTTGCGATGCGAGAGATGGCTACCACGATTTGCAGCGGGCACGGGACGGGGGGGGGGGGGGGGGCGAGGATTTTTATGAGCGACTTCCAGTCCCATTGACAGTACCTACGCATTGGGAACACTCTAACAGACCCACAAATGCTAAAAGGTACAGTACCCGGCGCATCAATGAGTTTCCTATGTTGGTTTACTCCAGTGCCTCAAGCGATGGTTTCAGATGCGTACCGTGCATTTTCACCCGGCTTTTTGCCGGCGTTATCAATACTTTACGGCTGTTGGGCTTTACATTTCGTTGTCTATGATAGTATCTATGATATTCTAAACTAGAAGAGTTTTCCTGGTCACCAGATTCCGAAATTATATTCAGCAGTGTCGTACTGAAAAGCTGCGCTCGAGCCTGACGGACGGGGAGGGCTAAGGACCGATGAGCCTGCTCCCCTCGGCTGCGCCACTGCCTGCAGCGAGGAGCAGTTGGAAATATGACGGGCCTCCTGAGACGGCACTAGCTGGCGCCCCACAGACTGGATTTCTTGCTCACCTTGTAGGAATATCGGGTGCTTTATCGACAGCGATAAAATGCTCGTGCAGCCTTGCGCTCGGCACCACGGCGCGGGAAATTCACCAGTCATATCATTTGCAAAATTCCATATCAGCTGTTGCACTGCTGCGCGTGAACAAACGCTTGAAAAAACGTTCCGACCGTGCTACCAAAGTCAAAACGTTTCAGCCGTGTTACCAAATCTGAAGCGTTCCCACTGTTCTGACAAATCCTAGAAGTCAGCGTCTCCTACCACAAAGCCGCCTTCCTCGGAGGGTGGGAGTTAATTTCACTTATATTGTTGACGAGAAGGCTGGAAGAAACCTGTTCACATTTGGTTCCGAAGTGAGCTAGACCTTATCCCCAATCAAGGACCAGTGGGTAATCTGTTGTATAGACAATTCAACGGTAGGCGACGCTAAGCATCAATGACCCTTTAAGTCACTAGTCTCGTCAATCTCAGTGCCAGCATTCATAACGTTGCTACATTCGGGGCATAAACCCACCGCAAAAAGTGGCCCCGACCGATCTGTAGTGAAACGACAGGATCATGGTGTATTGGCGTTGCTTAACCTTCTAGAACTTTTTAAATGGAACCTGTGAGCTAGACGATTGTCATCGTACGTCGGTTTTGCGCAAACACATATCATTTATTACACCAAATATCACGAACCAACGTTTGTCTCAAATTGGCTTTGCAAGCATTACAGTATAGTATCATAACTCAATGAGCTATATAGTGCGCATTCCGGTGATATGGAGCTACCAGACACAGATGGTGGTCCATCACTATTATGAGCTTCAACTGGTTGTGAGTAATTTCCTATTCATAATCCTTCTTCGTGCAGATTACTTGACTCACGAACTGTTGACCGCTGCTTTTCAAGATTTTATCAAGAAAATGTTGTGCTAATGCGATTGAAAGAACGTTGACTTTGTTTAGTGTAATCGTACACACCTTTTGTTTGTTTTGCGTCTGATCATAAATTATATGAGGTTCTAATGTAATCTCTGTTCCATGCGTGCACATCCTCACATGAGACACCCAAGTTTGAACACACTAGCGGCGAGGCAAAGCATTAGGCAACACCATCATAGTGTCTGCCCTTTGGTTGCAACTTCGGGTGATAGGACTAGCCGGGAGCCAAGTTGTTTCACTTCACATCAAGCGTGTGCTAATTTGTAGCTCTGCCTTATACCTTAGATATGCCTTACTGGACGATATTCTGAATCCCTCTTTGCTGTCACGCTTGAAAAGGAGGGCATCCTAACAGGGACTAACGGTCTTGAGGCAACTGAAAATAAGCAGATAGCGATTCAAGCGGTATGCTCTTCTGCTAGTCGGCAGAAAAGGTGCACCGGTTTCGAGTCTTACATATCAACACGTGACCATCAATAACATTACATTCAAACGCTGGATTGACGAGCATAAACACCTCGCACCACAACCAAATGATGTAAAGTTGGCGTGATATCCGCTGTCCTGCCATAACGTTCGCTATGCGTCGCACTAGAGCAGTTTTGTTTAACAGGCATCAAGCCGCACAGCCAGTGACCTTAATGCTGATCGCCAGCCCTGAACCAATCACCGCCGAAGATAAGTCACGACAAACAGAATGTCCATCGTAGCCATATCTTGCTTCTCGGTTATGCAGTCAGCTTTTCTGAGCTGCGGCCAATTGAATGCGTCCTCTTTTGCCGTGCTCATTTTTCAACACAACCCGGCGAAACTCACCGGGTTGACCTGATGATGTTACCCCATCGTGTGCAACAGCTGTTTTGCGCGGGATTGATTTCGGGTGTATTTTATATATGGGCACCTGCAACAAAAAAAGCTTTTCGGGCGGGGGCGGGGGGGGGTTGGGCAGCCGTAGCCAGTTTGAATCAATGTAGTATAGCATGTCCTAGAATTGCCGACTTTGGATGTACAGGAACACCTTTTGAGGAGGAATATTCACCGCTCTTCCCGCATTTTATGTGAATTTTTCACTTTTATTTAACACTGTCTAACCACAGCTGCTAAACCCATGTTTTCCTTTCAGATGTTTCTACGATGTCATCCAAGTCCCAGCTCACTTGAAACCACCGAGCATAAACAAGGCTCCTCAGAACCTGAACATTTATGTTGCATCCTGCCCCACCCACATCTGAATCACGCCTATGTATGCACGTAGCAAGGAAACTAGCTACCTTCAAGGCCGAGAGCTCCAGTGACTCCAGTCACTTGCAGTCATTAATCTTGGTTTGTTAAAAAAATACGCCAAAATCCACAGCTGTGTGTCAAATACAAGGCTCTCATGCATCCCCATTGCGTAGCGTGGCAGGGAATTTCACTCCACGTATTTTTTCCCGGATAAATTTGAATACTGAATGGCACCAATGTAACACCCGAAATGTAGGGGTAAAAAATTCAAGAAATGCCTTCTACATGAAGCTTGAAAGCAAAATGTTGTCACTTCAAAAGTCTAGGCCATTGTGCTTGTTCGTCTACTGTCGCTTTTTCAAACTTGTTTGGCTCAAATTGTTCAACTGAAAACTTGTGCATATTTCACACATATATCCGGTTAACTCACAAGCCGCCCAAACACGTTTGATTTTTACCCAAGAGTAAACAATTCATGGTAAAGACAGGGGGAAATTTGAAACAAGTATATTTCTTTCGCCGCCATTTTTGCCTTATTTAACACCAGTTTAGCCGTTTTCTGGTTCATGGCCCGGCTCAATAGTGATAAATTTAAGCCATTCCAGCTTTACTACCTAACCAAGTTAGACTTCCCTGTTGTTCACAGCTTTTTGGACGGAGCTTGCACAGCTGAAACAAAAGTGTTTGTTAGCGAATTTTGCGATTCAAAAATGTTTTTTCACATATTAAGTGTAGAGCTCTTCTCACTTATTTCGCATCTAAATCTTGTAGGTTGGCGGTTATGATCGATATCTTTATGTTGTGGGTGAGTTGAATGACCCTGTCTCCCAGCAAACCACGAGAGAAATGCTGACGTTTGTTTGGAGGAGTAGAAAAAGCCAGCCCTTAAAAGGGCAGTAATTTTCTCCTTAAGAGCACGTAATTGCTGACCCTAAGCACTTTAAAAGCATGACTCATAACCATATTTGGACACCTTCTGTTATATCTCCTACACATTTTCTTCATCGGGCAAATCATGATCCCCAGGATATTTGATTAAAACATTTGGTCACATCTTCTTAAACATTTACCCCTAATTTCTTGAACTGGTCCCTCATGTCTGCTCCATCAAGATTTTATCCACAGCTGCCATGACTTGGTGGCTGGCAGCTGACTGCATTGCGGATATGCACGATATCTTTTACCATATAAACTCCCTAAGCTACATGACAATGACAACACCAGGTAAATATATCTGATCAGAAAAAG